TCAGAGTAGACTCCCAGTTTCTCGGACGTAGCTGTTCTGTCGGCAACTGCAGAAGATCCTGTAAACGACTCCAGGGGTTTCTTGCTGTGGTAGTGTACTTTTGGGCCTCATGGCCTGACGCCTGATGGTTGCCTCCGGTCTTTGTACAACTCCAACTCTGAGTGGTGTGAGGAGGTGGCTGGCGGCTTCTGAGACGTCTTTTACGTATAGAAGCGCCCGCCAGAATTTGGGACCGGCTGCAATTTCTCACATAGTCACGTTCATACATGCAGCGGCTGACCAGACTGCGCGAGTAACCATTCGCTCTAAGCATCTGTCGAAGATATTGAAATTCAGCAATCTTGTCTTCAGTTCTCTGTAATGTCCCTTGACACGCCGGTGTGGCGTCCCTATGCAACTGCGTTTCTGGCTGATTGGATGGTTGCTGTTGAAGCTCAGTACCTGAATCATTTTCCTGGATACTTTAGTTTTTAGGCCACAACAATCTTTGCGGTGACGACAACCACAACACCTGAAATTTCGGTGTTGATTTGCTCAGTTCCATTTGCACTTTAGGCAAAGAAATTAGTATGTCAGTTGCTTTTCCGTAAGCTTTGGATGTGGCATTTTGGTTTGACTCCTTAGATTAGTCATCGGAAAGGCCATATCTACTTTTGAGAGCGTCGTAACTTCGCCCTTTTTACGCATGACTGTTTCCAGCCCGATGTGACATACGCAATTCGCACCGTACTTGGTTTTCGTAAAAGCGTTTCCTGCTGATGACGATAAGATAATGCGTAGGCGGCCTGTTAACTTAGTTTTTGGAAGCTTGACAGAGAGTTTTGTCGTTGACATTAACCCTCCGGCGGCATATAAACCGCACCGACTCTCATAATGCCAGTTGCGGACGGGGTTAGTACGTCGGAGAAACAAGGGATTACTTCGGACGCGAGTGGCCGAGCACGCAACGGCGGTGGGGAGGAGATACGTTAGTTCCTAGGTGGCGGCTCACTCCACTGGACCCAGCCATATTCTCAAGTTTAAAGAGGGAGAAATCCTCGCAAGAGGTGACGACTGAGTGAGCTGCGAGCTGCTCGAATAAGGGTTCTGAGGCCCGAAATCTATCAACAAGCGCAATTACCTCCTGCTACCATATTCGATGCTGAAACATTACCTACGCTGAAGAATCGGTCACGTGGGAGGGTGGGAGCGCAGATGAGCAGCAATCCCAGTGATGGCGGGCCAAATTTCGAAATAATCGTCACGCCAACATCCAACACGGATGATGAAATTGCGTCAAGTAACTACTTGGGCGCGGACTGACTAGCCAGAATCGTAGCGATTACGATCCCCAACTGTGATCGCGAGAGCCATTTATTATATTACGAATATGGCTCCACAGCAGCTACGCACCTTTATCTGCGAATATCTCTGATGATGGATTTGAGTGTGAATCCGAAACATCAGGCCAATAAATTTCTTGTTCCTGTGATCACATCTTCGTCTTCTGAACTGCTACCTGGAACTCACCTGTTCGCTTCTATCAGCAATCTTTTTGGGCGCGAAGCGCTTCGATCGACTCGACAGTGGGAAACCTTTTCCCTTCGAGAGTCGTCTACATATGCGTAGATTCGATTTCTGCACAGGCGTCTCGACAACAATCTGCTGCCGAAGTGTATTTCATACAAACCTCTGGTCAACACAGAGCTGGCGAGACGCGCAGTACTTCAGCACGACCGGCGAATGATCCGAGCGCTCCTTCAAGACTGTCACTCACGGATTCGCAAATACCGTTAGAGGATTGACCAAGAGAAAGCAAGGTGCTGCGAGTTCATGGGTGAGGACGGCATAAAACTGCTTCAGCAGAGGCTGGCCGAACGAACCCGCGAACATAAAGCAACAAGCGAAGCAGCCCTAGAGAGCAAATTTCGTAAGCTGCCTGCTCCAATGTCATCCAAGAACGACAAACTGATGCACAACTTGTCGTCAAAGGAGCTGACGGAGGAACAAATGCAGGTTTTACGGCAAGAGGCCTCATTCAACACAGCCGATGCCAAACCTGCCAACATGATCGCAACAGTGGAATCAATCCTCAGTCAGACGGGAGCGACAGACGAAACGAAGAACCTTACTGGACACCAAGTAGCCTAGATACTGCAGTCTTTGTGCCTCCACTACATTTATCTGCAGTCCTACCTGATGATGGGTTCAAGTGAGAATCCGAAGCTTCAGGCCAACAGACTTCTTGTTCCAGTAATCGCATCCTCTTCTTCTTTTGAAATGCCAGTTATGTACGATGGATGCCTAGAATGGATGGGTATCGGCACAACTTCTTCGGCGACCGGGGACAAGCATTAACCGGCCCCAAATGTTAGCGAGCCATTCGGTACGGGACGACCTTCTTGAAGGCTGTCACCATTCGGAGTTAAAGCTGCACACAGAACGGAGGTAACTATCAGGTTTCAGATAGTAGACCTAAAGATCCACTGCCACGGCAATAAAACACCCGGAATTAATAGAAATGAAAATAAGATTCCCAGGTGGCAAATCAAAAGAAGAAGAGGCGTTCACCGGGAGGAGTGTATTGGAGGTCCGACGTTTCGAGTAGTTGATTCGTCTACCCATCTCCAGAGACTGGAGAGTCCTGCGCACAGCTCCCCTTATATGGTGCACTCTGTTCAATGCGTGACTCGTCAATGCCGCCTGTGTGGCTGCATCCAACCCGCATGTCACCGTGACCTGAATCGCCCCGTCGGCAGCGGAGATGACTACGGCCCCGATTGTCCCGCGTCGTGACTGTCCCCTGTTAAGAAGATTCGTAAAGTCAGGTAGGAGGGAGACAAATTGATGAGGCGGTTGACAGAGCAGTCGGTGGACATCCAGGCTTCTTGAATTTGCCTTGCTGTATGATCACCGGCCTGGCCCACAATCTCAACGGCGTCAAAGTTGAAGATGTGCCCCATTTGCGCGGCATGGGTTGCTACCTCCGACTTTGGGTCCAACCTTCGCACGACCAACATGCTCGTGCATTCCCGTTTGCAGCCGTCGGCCGGTTTCCCCAACGTATCTGCACCTTTCGCAGCTGCATTGAAGTCAGCAGACAACGGCCGTCGTCTCCTGCTTAGGGGTCGGATCTTTTGGCTCTGAAGATGGGTGACGAATCAACTACTCGAAACGTCGGACCTCCAATAAACCCCTCTCGGTGAAAGTCTCTTCTTCTTTTGAGATCCGGAATTTTTTAGCCGATATGATACAGTTGCAGACAAAGTAAATATGTCCAACTTGCTGAACTTAACATTTTGCATGAAAGAACATCCTAGAAAAACTTGCAGAATGACCAGTAGCTTCAGTGAAAATCTTTCCACAAGTGGGATTAAGTCGCAGAACTATGTTTCAACGGTTGCCACCACTGCCAGTGCTGAACATAAAAATTTCCACTGGTGACAGTAGCTGTCGTTCGGGACCCAGTTTACCATTCGAATCTGCTCGATCTGCTGATGACGGCTAATATACCGGAAACTATCTCTCTCTCAAGTTCATCATTTTTGTCGGTCGCACTTCCTCGTTCATGAACAAGCGGTCCGGGTCCATGACCAACCATTTGATCTGTTCTAGTGTTTGGCAGCTGGACACGAAGGAATAATGAAACCACTCAGTCACTTTACCACAACCCAATAGCTATTTCTGTTTGTGGAAAAGACTGCAACCAGCGTAGACAGACGGCCATAAATGCATTTACGCAAACTAGTTATGATTTTGAAACTTTGTTAACCGCTGCTCATTATGTTACTGAATAATTTGTAATTTTTACGGTCTGAAATCCGAGACGGTAAAGTAAGTTTCAACGACTACATCCAATCCTTCGTTTTCCCCATGCTTCGGCATTCTGTGGTTTTTTTTCATGCACTGGAAAAAACTGACGAAGTTCGCATACTGGCTTTCGATTTGTACCTATCATGTCTCTTTGCGATTCGCCACGGAATATGCTAGAGTGGCACACGGAAATTATATTCCATTTTAGGGAAAAGATAGTCTTATATTCAAAACTGACTATGTCATTTTCGAAAGCGCACAGTAATGCGGAACTACATCCCATCCCAGAACCTGCGTTTCTCAGACTACATCGCATGTATGCTTCCCAAGAAGCTGCACATGTTTCTTCATGGGCTCATAAACGACCATTCTGAAATGCATAAATGTGTAACCAAATTTGGAACATTTTGCCTGCTTAATAAATAACTTGAGTCGGTCTGTGGACAGTAGAGAATTTATATCCAAAAATGTCTTTTATTGTCCCATGATAACCAGTTTTGTTGGGACCATGTTGTGGTCTAAGAACGCAAAACTTCAACGAAGCGATTATGAACAGTGAATTTTACGCATTCCTTTTCTTGAAAATTACTACTTTTGGGAAATACTGGAAGCCTAGTAAAAGTACTTACTACATCATTAACGAGCTCCTTCCGGCTAAAATGTGGTTTAAAGTTCGGGTAAGGTGTGCTTTTTCAAGCAGATGTCAACAACCGCATCACATTTCAAAACTGACTAACGTATTATCGTTAGAACCATCAACGTAATTTAGGCGTAAAAGGCGCAGTTTTTTCAAATTCGCTATGTCTTTTAAGCTAATTTTTATTGCATACCACCGAAAATTTGCAGAGAAAGGTGTATTTTCTTACTCTCTCTAGAAAATGGATTCTTTTTCAAGTTTGACGCTTACAAGACAAAAGTGCTATAATTATTAAAGGGTTATTAAAAATTTAATTTTTAGGTACTCGTCGGTCGCGCTCAAGATTGCCAATAGAAGCGAAAAGACGAGTCCCAGGAAGCAGTCTTGAAGAAGAAGACACGACCGCCGAGACAAGTGCTTTATTAGCCTGATGTTTCGGATTCCTACTCGAATCCATCATCAGAGACATAAGCAGATAAGGGTGGTTCATGCACATGCGGCTGCAGTATTTATAGGATGCAGTAGCCATACCACCGCATACCTATGAATATTCACGGCTCCCTCCCCTTCATCAGGGATCGTTGCGCGTGGCGTGATGGTCGATATTCGCGTCGTTAATTGCTGCAATTTCATCACGTGCGTTGGATGTTGGCGTGATGATTGCTCGACCATCTGACGGGCTGACCCTGGTGTTGGGAAAATTGTTCACCTGCGCGCTCCCCGCGTGGCCAAGTACTCCGCCTAGACGAAGTCTCAGCACGCTGTATTGAATGGGAAGATCATTGCACTTGTTAATAGACTGGGGGCCAGTGAACCATGACTCAAGCAGCTTCCGACTCACGCGGTTGTCACCTCTTGCGAGAATTTCGGCCTCATCGAATTTGATGGTTTGGCCGGATCTCGTCGAATGAGCCGCAACTTGAGAGCTGGCGTCATTTCTGCGCACCGCTGCCGCGTGTTCGGCCATTCGCGTTCGGTGCTGTCTTCCGGTTTCTCCGACGTAGTTGCTTTGTCCGCAACTGCACCAGATCCGATAAACGACTCCAGACGTTTCTTGCCGTGGCAGTGGGTCTTTTGGTTTCATCAACTGACGCCTGATGGTTGCCTCCGGCCTGTGGGCAACTCCAACCCCAAGTGGTGCGAGAAGGCGGCCGACAGCTTCCAAAACGTTCTTGACATATGGAAGCGCTCGCCAAACTTTGGTGTCCCTGCAGTTAGGCCTTTCGTCCCTTCTGCGTATGCACCGGTCGACAAAGTTGCGCGGGTAGCCATTGGCTTTGAAGACCCGTCGGAGGTATTGTAGTTCAGCAATTTCGTCTTCCGGCTTACTGCAGTGCGTTTCGACACGCCGATAGAGCGTCCTTACACAACTGCGTTTGTGGCTGATTGGGTGGTTACTGTTGAAGTTCAGTACTTGCATCGTATTTGTCGCTTTCCTGAACACTTTGGTCTTTAGTCCACCACAATCCTTGCGGCATACGAGGACATCCAGGAAGGCCAACTGGTTGTTCTCTTCCTCCTCCATCGTAAATTGAATGTCCGGGAAGACGGCGTTGAGATGTTCTCGGAATGTCAACACCTGATCCCGTTCGATGACGACGAAGGTATCATCCACATACCGGGCCCAGAATTTCGGTCTGTGGTGTTGGAAGACCAGCGACTCTAACCGTTGCAGGACCGCCTCGGCGATGAATCCCGAAATCGGCGAACCCATTGGTGTGCCCTTCACCTGTTCGTAGATTGTCCCGTCGAACGTGAAGTACGTCCTGAGACAGAGCTTCAGAAGCTGAAGGATTTGGGCGTGTCCAAGACGGTTCTCCGTTTCATTGTATTTGCTTTGTAGTAGCAGTTCAATTGTCTCGATCGCCAGGTCCTGGGGAATAGAAGTAAAAAGGGATGTAACATCAAAAGATACCATGACCTCATTTGGATGGATGCTTACCCCTTTGAGTTACTCCAGAAATTGTGCTGACGAAGAGACCGTGGTGTCTGACTCAGCGGTCAGGAACTTGAGACGCCGGAACAGCCACTTAGCCAGTCCGTACGTTGGAGTCCCTTTGAGCGACACGATGGGTCGGAGAGGAGCGCCGTCTTTGTGCACCTTAGGGAGGCCATAGAATCGGGCCAAAGCCGCATCTTAGGGTCTCACCATGCGTCTGTCGGTCGGTGTTATTGCACCTGAGTTCTCCAAGGCCAACAACGTAGCATTGATTTCGCGTGTCAGCGCTTTTACAGCGTTCGTTGCACATGGGACATAGAACTCTCGGTCCTCCAGTAGACCTTTGGCTTTTTGAAGGTAGTCTGTCCTGTCCAGCACAACCGTGGAGCGCCCCTTGTCCGCTGGCACGATGCCCAAGTCTTTGTCGGCCTTGAGTTCTCTAAGCGCATCACGTTCGACCTTGGAAAGCACTTTCCGCGGCCTGTGGGCCATTAGGAGAGACGACACCTGGTGCTGAATGAGGTTCTTAGTCTCCTCCGTTGCCTCCGTCTGACAAAGGATTGATTCCACTGCTGCAATCATGTTAACAGGTTTGGCGTCAGCCGTGTTAAATGAAGCTTCGTGCCTTCAAACCTGCATCTGATCCTTCGTCAGCTCCTTTGATGACAGGTTGTGCACCAAATTGTCGTTTCTGGGCGACGTTGGATTGGGCAGCTTTCGAAATTTGTTCTCCAGTGCTGCGTCGCGTATCGTGCTCTGTTCGCGGGCTTGTTCAGCTATCCTCTGCAGGAGCAGATTTGTACCGATATCCCCCATGAACTCACAGCATCTGGTCTTTTCTTGGCCAATCCTTTGACGGTACTTGCGAAGTCTCGCGTGGTAATCTTGGAGGAGCACTCGGATCATCCTTCTGCCATGTTGAAATACTGCTCGTCTCGCCAAATCTGTGTTAACCGGAGGCTTGTATGAAACACATTTCGGCAACACATTATTGTCGAGACACCTGTGCAGAAACCGGATCTGCGAATACGTGGAGGCCTCCCGAAGGGCGAAGGTTTCCCATCGCCGGGCCGATCGGAGCGCATCGCGCTCAAATACATTGCCAATAGAAGCAAAAAGACGAGTCCCAGGAAGCAGTCTTGAAGAAGAAGACACGATCGCCGAGACAAGGGCTTTATTTGCCTGACGTTTCGGATTCCTGCTCGAACCTATCATCAGAGATACTTGCATCGTATTTGTCGCTTTCCTGAACACTTTGGTTTTTAGCCCACCACAATCTATGATGATGGGTTCGATCAGGAATCCGAAACGTCAGGCTAATAATGCTCTTGTCCCCCGTTGTCCTGTCGGTTGTGATTGGGAATATTAATTATGACAGAACAAGCATGTTCTGTAGCCTGATCGGTGAGCGCCAATCTGTCATAATTGATATTCCCGATCACAACCGACAGGACAACGTGCCCGTGGCTCAATGGTAGAGCGTTCAACTCCATTACCAAAGATCCCGGGTTCGAATCTCAAGTGATCCACACTGGGGGTTGGGTATGACTGGCTGATGACGGCTAATAAGCCAGAAATGGCCATTCCGGTCTCCCTTGTCTTTGTCAGTATCACCTTATCAACATATATATATATATATATATATATATATATAATGGTAGGAGGCGCTCACTGATCGTTCTTACGGAACTCACTCGTTCCGTTGTGCCTTATGGGCTCTCTCTCGAACCCAATCAGCAGCCGCACAGCGACGCATGATATAGGCAGTATTTTATTACCGACATAGACAAGGGAGACTGGAATGGCCATTTCTGGCTCATTAGCCCTTGTCAACCAGTCGTACCCCAGCCCCACCTGGGACTCGATCCTGCGACCTACTGGTTAGACATCCAACATCCCACCATTGTTGTATATTCGCGATCGCAACCGACAAGACAGCGAGTCCGTGGCTCACTGGTAAGGTACGTTGGACTTCTAACCAACAGTTCGAGGGATCAAGCCCCACCTGTTCCACAACTCGGGGCTGGGTACGACTAGCGGACAACGACTAATGAGCCAGAAATGGCCATCCTAGTCCACCGTGTTTGCCTAATTTAGGCACTTGGCGTGCTTCAAGCCGTAATTTCACTGCATCTGATGAAATCTAAATGAATGCTCATACAAAAAACACAGGTTACGTTTGCCTGAAGTCGCCGACAACACTAGGCTGCGTACAGTCGTCTTTTTGAATGTGCATACATGCAGTGGTGACGAAAATCCAGAGCATCAGCTCGGAGCTCCCTAAACATTGTTCATCCGAATTATTTGTCTTATGCGTTCAGGGAAATCCTGTTCATATGTAAAATATATTGTTTAAATCTGGAAATTTACGCTCCAAAAGATCTTATCTTATATTCCGGCCAGTTTTATGATAATAACGGCCCTAGACACCATTTTTATATCGGTGTTTTTCTTCTAAGGGGCATTTGTGAAAGCGCTAACGGTTCACCGAAACGAGCTACATCTCCCTTAAAACCGATTTTTTCCTCGTAAGTAAGATGAAGTAGAATTCAGACGAGGGCGTAATTTTCAATAAGATATCAGTTAATGGTTCCTTAAAGGTGCACTTCCGCACTCACGCATTGCTGTCGTCGGCAACTGTTTCATAAGTAACCACAAAAACGTTCAAGCGGTCATTTTAGCTTTTAAACGATCTAGTTTCTGCCATAACATTAGTCAGAAAAAGTACGGACAAGGCATTAACAGCTTGAACATTATTTTGGCATTTGTCCGGCCGCCTCATGGTGCATTTATAATTGAGGAACAAAGCGTAACGGTAGGTAACTTTGGCGAAAATAGCTCCATTCAAAACGGAAAAGTAGGTCCTTGCCCCTAGTGCAGAGAAGGCTAACGAACTATCTTGGCGGACTAAGTATCATGATGTTTTGCTTGACTTGGTCCGTGATAACGTGAAGCATATAGATATTTTTAAATGAAATGCCTAATAAATATTTCTTTAAGAGACAACTTATTCGATGTCTTTTGATTGATTGAGAACATATTTACCACAAAACATTTTGGCAAACGTTCATTTTTTTCAGCGACTGGGTTTCAAACTTCGTCAAGTCAACAAACTCGAACCAAACTGTCACTTGAATAAAAGAAGAGTCTTCATGAACTCACTGCTTAGGCAAACTCTTCTAAAAAATGACTTATATCGAGGGATTTGGTGGGCACAAACTACAGAACCTGTCTTTTGGGGCAGTCAAATTACAAACTGAAAACCGCAGACCATTCAAGGGTGTTTCAGGGAAGCCAACGCAGTGGCCTCCCTCCGCCGCCAAGAACCTCGTAATTTTACTCAGGAGGGTTTCGCTTGATACGCAGAAAATGATTTGTATGCGATTGATTCTGCTTATTCAAATCCAGTCTAATAGTCACTGACTGGACCCCAGATAACTGATCGTGAATAGTCTTTTATTCATGTGGAGACCTAGTTAGAGAACTCTAGCAAAGTCCTCCTTGCCTAAATCAACCGCACCTTAGGCAATAAGAAACCGGACCAATTACAGTTAATCACCTATTTCTCAAAACCCCACGGAATTCGAACAAAAATTCTTTTAACTAACTGGCCATCTACCCCGAATCCTAGCAAGTTATATTACGCTAAAGAAGACTATTCTGCAAATGAATGTTTACAACTCATCATTTATTAAACGACGAAGAGTTTTTGCCAAACACCACCAACTCAAGTAGTTAATGCATAACGCGTCACTTATTTAAGGCTTAATAAAAAACGACAGAGAATGACAAATACAGCAGCACTAATACAAGCTGATAAAAATGATATGCGGAATGCGAAATTCCCCCCCCCCCCTCTTAGTTGACTGTCCTTTTGACTGCAATATACTGGCAGATTTGGCGGATATATGAACCATTAAATTGTCTGTTGTGGACTGGTGTATACAATTACTATGCAAAAAAATCCGGTTTTGATGCAATTGAAGTAAGGGTGGCGATCGGTTACGCTGCGCTGGTCCCAAGTGCAAGAGCAATGAAGGCATTGCAATTAAAGTTAGGGTTAGGACTAGGGTTCGTGGTAGGTTCGGGGTTAGGTTTGGTGTCAGGTCTAGGGATACTGTCAGGTTTATAAATGACGTAAGACATTAAGTTTACTTTTGAATTTACGGTTAGGTTTTGGGTATTGTTGCCTCACGTGTCCTGTCAGCCAGGTCTTCCGCAGGGATTCCAGGCTTCCTTCAATCTCGCGGTAGGTTTGTTCTACCTCAGGTTGCCTTTTTCGGTTTCAGCCTCGGATACTTCTCCCACTAACGATTTCAGCAATCTCCTTCGGCTTACTTTACTTTCAATGCCCACAATGCACTCACACTAGGGACTGGGGCAGTTTAATCGACCCCTGCCGAATTAAAGTTCGGGCTTCTGGGAGGAAAAAATGTTTCACGGGTGCAGAGGCTATCCCTCGTCTAAAAAATTAGAGTGCAGTCATAAGCCATACCAGAATCACGCCTCGTTTGAGCTCTGTACAGGAGTATTATCCTGCAGCATTAAGGTGTCAATTCCCTGTCCGGTTAACGCCATCGTAACCGAAGACATCCTTTATGGTTGGTCTGCTATTCATGGTGTCCGTCGTCGACCGCCAGAGGGTTCGTTCAAACCGTCAATCCAACTGTCGGGCATTGACAGTTTTTGAAAGTTCCCAACAGCACAGTGTACCCTCGTGGGAAGCTCTTTCCAAATATGACCTCCTTGGGTAAATTCAGGTGCCTGCCTAAAAACAAGACCTTATCACAGAAATAAGTGCTTTTCTAGGATGAACGTCCGTAACTAATATACTTTTGAGCAATTGAAAATTTCCTCTACTTAAAAATGGCTTTTTATAGCGCTTTGCCGAAATCTGTCATTCTTGTTCTAGTTATACACAGAAAGAACATCAGCGGATACTTCCGCCGAATGGTCTTGAAGAATTATGATGGTATATTTGCGTGTTCGGTGAAAAATTCGTCGTCTTCTTGGCTTGTAGACCGTTTGGTTCACCTTTCTTACTTTTAGACACCACTTTATTATCAAAGGTCCATCAGACAGTGATCTAACCGACTAACGACTCTCACAAAACCCTTGGGCAGCTAATTTCCGTAATCGTCCTAGGGCGACAGCCGACAGGATCGGCTTTGATGTTTTCCATGCGTGGCAGGACAGAGAATAGTCCCAGCATGTCGTGCTTGCTTCATGCATATTTATTCATGTATTTATTCTGCCGACAGTCTAGTGCTGCATTTTACGAAAACTTGCTATTCGAAATTTTCAAAGCTGAATCCGTTCCTCATTTCTTGACTTTCATGGATGCGAAATCCCGTTGCCCAATTCCAGGAAGGGGCTTGCTGGAAACCCTCCTTGCTTATAAATGAAGACGCATAAATATGGCGAATAACTTAAATGTCAGGAAAGATCCGATTTTGCCTAAAACTGTCCTGTTTTCCTTTAACAAAACAAATATGAAAATATTGCGCCTTCAGCACAAGGCATCCTGTACTCCAAATTAATCTGGTAAACGAAAATGGAGGCACCCCATGCACGCCGACTGAGGTCTCTGCTATCACATTTTCTTAGTTGCTCCATATACTGCGCACCGAATTCTCGTAAGGACATGTCTAAAGACATGACCACACATGAGGCATTTCACTGGATGCCAGACCTCCAGTTTTTCGAGCTCTTGTAGGATGCTATGTTTTCACTGTCTCGTTTGCTTGGTTGTTAACATGGAAAGATTTTATGTACTTCGTCAAAATGATTCTAATCGTTCAACACGAATTTTCACT